TGTTGTGTAGCAGCCACTAGAGGGCGTTAGTTTTTCAGACACAAAGGTGAGATGTCAAAATTGTAGCTCCTTGTGTTCACTGACAACAGAAACATAAATACAAAACCTAAATGGAACATGCTAATATTAAAGTTGACATTTATACATAATCTGTTCAGAAAGTATTTCCACCACAATTCATGAAAGATAAAAACAACATTTTATTTCAAATTGCACATAAAAGCCCATATTGCCGTTTTCACTTATGGCTTCCAGCGAGACATTTCACACATAACAACAAAAAAATAACACAATGTCTTAAAAAACATTTACTAGAAGTATGCATTAGCATAAACATTTGCCTTTTATACAAAGGAATATGGCTTTGAGTTTCATAAAACTTGAATAACGTGGTCTTTATGTGACCAGCTTTAGGAACTACTAAGGTTTAAGGCAATAAAATGCACATTTTCAGGCCCACTTTGGACCAATAAGATCACAGTGTAGACGGTCGTAGGTGATGGTGAGAAAACTCCCATCTTCTCAACTGTTTACTCTGGTATAAAAAAAACACACAACTTAAAAAAAACGTTAAAAAAAAAACTTTTTTTCCATCTGAAAACACCAAACTTCTTCATGATTCAGCACTTCAGAGCTTCAAAGCTTTCAGATCTTCTCACACATGGTCCCAACATCTCATTTTATACAGTCTTGGAGAGTTTCTGTTGATTACTGGCAGCACAGCGGCGCCACGTCCTCGGCAGGCGACGGGAACAGCCTCATGACCTCTCTGGAGGATTTGTTGTAGCCGTTGTGGAAGATGAAGGCCTTCTTCACCGTGAAGAAGGAGACCGTCTTGTCCCACATGTCGGAGCCGGACATCCCAGCGTTGAGCTGACTCTCCAGGGTGGAGCGGATCCTCACTGCTCCATCAGTGCACTTCCTTTCCAGGATCATCATTTTACACATGCTGAGGAGAAAAAAATGGAGAAACGTCAGATTAAATACAAAGAGAAAGACTTGAAGAAATGAGAGCTCTTTAAGTAGAGCACATTCTCCTTTTCAAGTGAAGCCACACAGTTTTTATTTATTCACTCTTTAGATATCTATCTTTAGGATTTCTGGTGCTGCCCTGAAACAATAGAGGTGAATGCAAATTTGTGATGAAGAAAGTCGGCATTCTCTGTGAAAAAATTCAGAAAATTTTCTACTTCTAGATTTCAAAAACCTGGCAACATCAAACAACACATATCTCCATTAAGTGCCAAACAAAGGAAGTGTTTTGGGTCATTTGAAGCGGCCCTATCACTGTGTAGCTCTGCCTTAACAGAACTCTGTAAGAGTTGTGGCAACAGTGCAGCAACGATGACCCTGAAGCCTGAACAAATCTAAAATACAAGATGATGTTGGATGAAACAAAAGCTGGTGATGAGCAATGAGTTTTCCTTTCTTACGTTGTGTGCTGATCCCTCATGGTGGTGCAGATAGTCCAGGCCTGTGCGTTGGGGTGCAAGAGGTTTCAAGGTTATGATTTTACCCACCGAGATCTCCCCTCATTTATATACTTATGCCAACTTTCCCATCGACTTAATGCGACGTCGGTTCTCACAGTGTTTGGCCAATCACAAAGCAGCGTTATGACAATAGGATGTTGAATGAATCGGTTGAATTCATGGGGTACAATGGCCCCTCCGATCCAAACAAACAGGTGGGAGGGGCCCTTCGGTAGCCCTCTTGTCGCTCGGCTAATGCGCCGCAATGATGGGAGATATCCTCCTCATTGTGTGGACTGGGAGTGATATGTGGTGGGAAAACATCTGCCTGAGGATGGCCTACATGGAGGAGAAAGCAGTCCAGTCTCTACTATTTAGCAATCCAGGGCACAGAGGTGTTAAGTAATTTGCATGGGACCTGAGTTTGGAGGGCGATCATGGTGGTCATTGTGGTGCAATCACTGTGGACGTAGTGGGGAGAGTATAACATGTTGCACATTGAGTTATTAATGTGCTATTAAGCTTTACTATTTATTGAATTGTGATTGTGTGTTTTACGTGTTCCACAGCAAATCTCCTTCCACTGTTTGTACAATGATAATAAAGCTTTCTAATTTGTAGTGTTTTTTTAGAAGAAGTAGTGCCTATAAGAGAAAAATAAAATCATTACAGACTCAATCGGTACTTTTTGTGCTGTTTCTCTAACTTAGAATGTGAGTCAGTTTCCCCTTTTTCTCATTCAGCTGTTCATCACACACACCGTATGATATTTGGGCCCCTTCCCTCGCAGGCCGTGAAAACAGGCGTCTTCAAACTACACCGAAAGTTTCCCACCCCTTCAAACGCACACACTCCCTATTCTTCTTATTTAACTTTCTGTCTCTATTTCAGCCTCTCCGATTCTCACGGTGAGCGTCTCCCATGCTTGATTGGCTGACAATAGCATACGATCCATCCAGATGGTGTGCCTGGAAGCCCTGTTGACAGCCCCAGTCTTCCCGAGTGTGTGTATGTGTGCGTGTGTGTGTGTGTGTGTGTGTGTGTGTTGTGAGGGGGGTTGGTCACTCAATCTTTGTTCGATGGGGCACACTTCCTTTGTGCAGCCGGCCTCAGAGTCATTAACACTGAAGTGTGGGAAGCCTGGGACCACAGCGGCTCCCACGTTCCACACAGGCAGGAAGGGAGCGTGTGACTGAGACGTGGCCAGCGGCAGGCTGCTCAGCCAGCTGTGTGTGTGTGTGTGTGTGTGGCAGGGAAAGTGAATGAGAGTGTGGCAGCTGGCATGAGTGAGTGAGTGAGTGAGGGTTCGCCTGATGTGTCCACATGTGCTGGGAGGGATGAAGCACTGGTCCACACAGTTCAAATCACGTTCATCAATTTAAAGCTAGAAAAAAATTAGAATGCAATAGATTGTTGTTAATATTAAAAGCATTCTATTCTATTCTATTCTATTCTATTCTATTCTATTCTATTCTATTCTATTCTATTCTATGCTTTGCCTTAGAAACACAACAAAAGAGTTCGAAGTCCTTACAAAAATAAAAGTTTTAAAAAGATAAAATTTTAGTGTGTAAGTGACTCAAAAGGCTCATGAGTCATTTTCACTGCATTTTCTTTTTAAGGTGTTTCTTCATAAAGCCTAATCGTACCTGGATTAGTTGGGGAGAATAACAAAAACACAGACAGCCTGCTTCCTCAGAGCTACATATGTATGATTTTACATTTTATTACAGCTGTTCAATCAACACCATTTACAATATTACTTTTCTCAACAGTTTGTGCAATCGTAGTTGCAGCATCATGTGTACATTTTATTCTGATTACATCTGCAACATGACAATGTAATATGGACTGTGCATTGTTTTTTGACTATTGCACTATTTCAGCTCCCATTGCACAGATCCATTTGTAAATATACACCATGCCATATATTCATGTAAATACTACAGCACTTTATACTTTGCACTGTTGCACTTCTGGTTAGATGCTAACTGCATTTCATTGCTTTGTACTTGTACATGTGTAATGACAATAAACTTTAATCTAATCTAATGTGCAGATTTCTATTTCATGTGCAATAATCCGTTATCCTGTGATATTACTTATAAATTCAGTATAATTGCCAGCAGTACTTTTTACTTTTCTATTCTAGACTTTTTTTTTTAGCTTTCTCATATTATTTTCACCCATGTTGTTGCTTGTTGCATTTTTTACCTTTTAGCCACACTTCTAATATCATTTATTTTTTTCTGAGCAATATCTGGCAAACTATTGCCTTTAGGAGTGATAAAGTTTAATCTTATCTTGTTACGACATTGTACGCACTCAAACATTTGCTTTGACGCAGGACCCGAGGGACAGATGTCAGACGAACAGGTTGTAAAAAAGCAAACAGTTCACCAGGTAGTTAAAGACACTTTATTCAGAGGTAGAACTGAAAGTGAGAAAAGCTGTGATGCTGGTGAAATCTGCTGCTTCTTTATATCTATGTAGACATTTACATGTATCTGTCTTTTATTGTTATTTATCCAGCACCACTCTTATTATCTACAGCTTATTCTATTTATACACTTACTCATACTGGATATATGCGTGCTCCATATACTACACATACTATGTATATGTCTTGGATATTCATAGGATATCAAATCTTGCATACTTATAAACACTGTCCGTACTCTTAATACTGATCATACTGCATATCATAGCACATTCATACAGCTCTTTATGCTGTTTCATGCAGAAATATTGCCCTGCACTGCGCATTTATTGCTCCTTTTGCACTTCTGATTGGATAATAAACTGCATTTATTGTCCAAGTACAAGAAGACAAATCCAATATAATGTTCCAGTTGTGATAAATAATTGTATTTTTGTTATTATAACTATTTACATGAGGAAGCCCAGGAGAAAAATCAGTCTTTATAGGGTCTTTTTTTTCACATGATTTTATTATGTGGACCAAAACAACACTGAAAGGTTGAATCACACTCTCCACATTCTTCTTTTCTTCATCAACCAGATTTTATTTGCGTTCCTAAACTCACAGAGCAGCTTTTTTTCTATTCACATCCGAGGCGTCTCAACTGTTGCACAGCTTCGCGAGGGAAGTCTGCCGTCTCAGGCCGGTGGAAGTGGCTGCATGTTGGTCTTTTCTAATGGCTGGCCCTCTGTAACACCCACGTGTGCCTGGTGGCAGAGGCACTTTGTCTTCAATTACGTGGCGGTGGAGATGACATGAGACAGCGGCATGCTTCCCTCTGGGGTCACCACTTTCCCATATCAGCACAAGCACTGGGTCAGTCTCCCAGCGACACCCCCGCCTCCCCCCCTGCCCACTCCACCCCGGGCTCTTTCTCTCGCGGTCTATTCCTCCACCTGCTCCCCGGAGACACACTCATTGTCCCCACGGCTATAAACACTTCATTGAGCATGTGGCAGCCCTGCGTTCCTCAAAGCCCTTCCCAGCACTCTCATTGGCCCGGGGACTGTGAGAAACTCCAACAAGCCTAAGACTCACACATTCATATGGAGATTTGGGTGTATAAATACAGGGCCGAGGCAGAGGAGAAGGCAGCTCAGACTCAACTGGCTCTGCAGACCGAGCAGGAACGCTCCCACTCTACAGCTATGGCACCCACTGTTTTTGGACAAGCAAGCAAGGAACACCTGACCCCTGCGCATAAGGTAAATACTTCTCTACATAAAGTCACATAAATCTCTTGAATTCTGTTGATACACATTAACCTAAAAGCAACGTTCAAGTGGACTAAATGTTCTTCTTCTTCTTTCCTTCAGCTCAGAAAGCCAATGGTGGAGAAACTGCGCAGAGATCGCATCAACACCAGCATCGAGCAGCTGAAGTCTCTGCTGGGTCCTGAGTTTCTCAGGCAGCAGCCCGACTCCAAGCAGGAGAAGGCAGACATCTTGGAGATGGCCGTGTCCTATCTGAGAAGCTGGCAGCAGCAGAAGCAGCAGCAGCAGCAGCAGCAGGCCAGCTTGACCTCCAGCCTGATGACAGCCACTGACGGTTACTCCCACTGTGTGCAGGAGGCCGTCAGCTTCCTGTCCCACTGCGAGGTCCAGACTCAGGCTCACAGGCTGCTGCTCAGCCACTTCCAGGGCCTGCAGGTGTCCAGCAGGACGGGCCACAGCCCCTGCAGCCTCTCCCCTCCTGGGTCTCCCCTCCATCGGGTCAGCTCCAGTAAGGGTGTAAGCCAGGGCAGCTGTGCTCTGTGGAGGCCCTGGTAGGACGGAGGCAGCATCACCTCCACACTGAGAGAAAACTACGTCTGTGAACGTCATGGACAGAAAGTTAAAGACTCATGAAGTCTGTTTCCTTTTGCTTTGGCACGAGATTCAATATTGATGATTGTTTTACTATGTGGCGAAATTCGCACGTTGTGCCAGTATTCCTTTGGAAGGACTGAAATGATTCAGGTTTTACTGAATATGTACACCATGTGTATCGATGTTCTACACTTTATTTTAGAGTTCTTACTCTCTGGTTGTGTTACCTGTTCCTTTGGGGAAACTATCTTTTTGTTTGTTTTGCAAACAGCACTGCGTTATATGAACCATATTGGTTTGAAACTATTATGTGTCTGAGACACTGTTTGAATTGATGTGTTCACTGTCTATCTTTGATACCGAGTATCATCGACTGATACGTTTCATCAGCGTGCTGCTGGTGAATCAATAACAAGCCATAAAGGATCCTATGGATCCACCTTTACTGTAAATCTTATGATTATACTTTACACTTTATGATGACTATTTGTACCCACCGTTTGGCCTGTGTGTGAGGAGTGTCACTACTGATACTGTAGCTGTTCCCTGTTCACCTGTGATGTTTATTATAGATGTTTTTCATCTTCAATTCACTACCTTTTATAAAGGTGTTTTATATTGATCTTTGCTAAAAGAACCTGTTGTATTGCTTCCTTGAGAAGTTTGACTTTAAAAATGTGAAAAAATAAATAAAAACTTCACATGAAGTTTTGCAAACATGAACAACACTGTGTGTTTTGTTTTAAAGAAACTGTAGCGCTGAAGGCAAGAGGACACAGTACAGTTTGTGTGTTCTCACATGTTAGTTCCTGCATTTAGTTTTAGCTAATTAAATGAATTTCATAGGAGAGATGGAGCACATTGCTTAAGTTTTGGACGTAGCTCTGTTTAGCTCTACACTCTTAAATCCAATCAGTACTTAACTGACAGCAGCTTTACTGTTGTGTCCTGCTAAAGAGAACATAGGACTCTAGTTAGTGTCCGCAGAGGTCTGTTTTATGTAAAGCTAAATAGTTGTTGGTGTGTTCAGTCAGTATAGTTCACTCTGCACGCTCACGTTATCATTTATTCGTCCACTGCTCCAGTAATCAGTCAGTGGGTCCACATTTTTTAAAGAATCCGTGTTAAGAATCAAGAACAGGAGAAAACCTACTTACTGCACACATAACTACAATTAAATGCATATTTTCACCATGTAAAGAGCAATACAAATTAAATTTACCAGATTAATTGTCATTCACTGATACAATTCTGCCAAAGGAGATCAAAACGGCATTTATTGTGGTAGGTAGGTGCAGACAGCATCATAATATCTGTATGTACAAGAGTAGTGGTGCTGAATGTGATGCTGCACATTAAAAACACTTGGATTTAAAATATAATTCTAACTACTGATGAGGACTAATTATAATTTTTTATTCTTATTTTGGCAAATTAGTTTAAGACACATGCATGATCAGAAATATAATGATTATTGAGGGAAATATTTGTTTTGCCTGCAGGTCATTTTGCTGGCTCATACTCTGTATTTTTTCCTTGATTCAGTATTTCCCACAGGGATCATTAACATTTCATCTTATCTGACCTTGCTGGTGAACAGGTGTTTTTTTTTTTTTTTTTTTAAATGAGAATCTGGCCACAGAGACACCCCTGCAGGTCACATGTCTCACTCTCTTCTGTTGTGGTGGCCGTGGTATGTTGTCTAGTGCCTGAATTATGTCTCAAGTGCCACAAAAGTCTTTCACAACTATTTGTGTGTGCAGAAGTTGTGGAGAATGTGGCATGCCTGGGACTTTCTCAGGGTCTAGTGTGCCAGGCCAGATGGTCTGGCTGAAGCTGCCTCCCCATCCCCCCTTCAAACAGGAGATCAAACACCGTAGCTAATGTGATGTGTAACAAGACACACTTCTATTGTTCCCATCTCTGGGCCAGTGAATAGGCGCAGAGTGTGGGAAACAGGAGATACCACACTCACAGAGAGATGGCTGACGGGAAGCAGCTCTGCGTCGCCGCAGGTCTGAGCGATGGCCGAGACTTTATGGCAGGAATTCAGAACTCTCAGGCTGCTGGTGGGAGGGGAACTCGTCTTCCCACACACTTGTAGACAAAGACCCCCAGCAGCCGTGTAGTGCACACTAACTTTCAGAGGAGGCACAAACTCACACAAACACGTCGACAATGAGGAGGACAGCTAATAAAGTCAAGCGTGGATGTGACCGAACAGAGAGTGGCAGGAGTTGTGTTTTCAGATTGACGACGAGATTAGAGGAGATCTACGCTAAATATACAAAATAAGAGAACAAATATAGTTAAACATCTGTCTTGTGCTAAATTTGGAAACAGTTATTTTTATGTCTAGTTACTTTATTTTACTGTATATTTATTGTTTACTCTATACTTGCTGTTGTTTTGTTGCACCAACCTACCAAGAACAAATTCCTTGTATTGTGTGAACTATACCTGCCAAAAATCTGATTCTGAGTCTGATGTTCTGATCTGATTTGATGTGAGGTGTTTTTTTTTTTAAATTATTATTTTATGAGATTTCAAAAATCTGGAAAAACCAAGATAATTCAGTGTGATCATTTCATTCCCTCCACCTTTGGAGATTTGGACTTTTCATGAATGGACCTACCAGGTATCAGATGATTATGGTGCATGCATAACTTAATTATCTGTTCCTCTCCATTTGCATTTTCCATGCATCGTTTTCCAGCCACCACTTGGTCGCCGCTGTCTGGACACCCTTTTCCCTTCGCTTTGCTTGAGTAACAGTAACATTTCTATTGTGGCTCTCAGTTCAGACTTTTAGTACCTCTTTCACCATTGTTGTTGGGTGGCTCAAAATTAAAAGAGTCAACACTGACCAAAGCCATACAGACTTCTCTGTGCCAGGCAATGAAGCCAGTTGACTTGATTTTTCCCAGATGGGCCGGGACACAGAGTTTCTGTTTGCCCCGCAACAAAAGATCAATTAACATTCCCAATGGAGCATGGAGGAGCGGCATGGCTTTTGTAGCTCATTTACCCTGATGTTGGGGGCTGGTGGGAAACTGGGAAGACTGGGCTACTCACACTGGGCCCACAAGGCCGGCTTCACATCTGGGGCCAGCCAGTGACGGAGGCCCTCAGAGGCACACTGCCAGCCCGCTCATAATGCCATTAACTTGACACTAATTTGACACAGTTCATTTACAGCAGGGTCTGCAGACCCTCGGGGGGGAAGTAAGACAAGAACTTGTGATTAAAGGCTGTCTGCAATTTTTCAGCAGAACTCAGTGACTAATATGGAACTGAATGCAAGAATAATCCAAACGTGAGCTGTTGCGCCACAAATAACTGTGTTCAGGGTCACAAATTAGTCAGAAAACATGGGAAGCTGAAGTAGAAGTGACTTTGAGGTGACTCCCCAGGATACAGAAGTGTCTTTCATATCATCATCTTGTGCAGGGGTTTGCTTTGCATCTTAAATGTCATTAAAAATATGGTGCATTTCTTCCTCTTTAACTCACCAGTGATTAGAAACTAAACGGTTTTCTTTTTTTTTTTTTAATCACTAATTGTGCATTTACTCCTCCTTTTTACGTGCTTTCTCTTTATGTATAAACGCAGATAAAACGCATGCCGTTGTTTGTTCTTAATGAAAGGAACAACAAGCTAAGAAAAATATCACGCTGTGCGTCAGTGCGCAGCAGATCATTTGTTGCGCTTTAACCTTTGACGCACGCCAGTCGCGCCACAGGAACGTGCGCCAGTCGCCTGCTTTCACACCTGGGACGCTGCTCGGCTGCGTGTTTCCCCCTCAGGAAACCCAAAGTCAGAGCTCATTATCCCTGTCAGAGAGCTTAAGGGACCGAGGAAGTGAGAAGCAGAGCTGAACGTTAGTAAAGCAACAGGTGGAAAATGGAACAGTTCAGCCGCTGATTCCACTCTTTCACTTTCATAACTCCTCTGTCCTCTTCCATCAGTGTTATTGTGGATTTTAAACATGATTTAGCCAAATTGGAATGAAGCTGTGATCCAGAGTCGTGCATTCTTCTAAAAACAACATTTTTGTGTCCAAAGTGCTCTTTGAGGAAAAGGAAGTTTTCTGTGAAGAGACAATAAGAGCTCAGCTTATATTGTTTTATTGCAGTCAAGCATTTGGTGTTTAATTGCTCTTATCTCCTTTGGAAGATGCTCAGTTTTGTGTCCATCACTTCCCCCTTTTATGTAAAAAAAATCTAATTCTGACTGTCAGTCAGTGATAAATTCTCAGATGACCGCTTGATAAAGTGTTAATTACCTGTTGCTTATCTTGGGAAACATGCCAGGCACAGATACATGCTCTCTGAGTTATTGACGTGTCCTCCATTGTTGTGCTGGGAGTCCCACTGGTCAGAGTGTGGGAACCCCAGCCCTGCCTGAGCCACATGGCTTTGTTATGCTAATCTCTGAGTATAAAATGAGGAGCAGCTCCTCCAGAGACATCAGAGCTAACAGTGCTGTCCAGAAGAAGCTGCTCACTTCACCTGCACAGACATGGCTCCCTGCTCCACCAGCTACTCCTCCATCCACCACATGAGGATCTCTGAGAAGGATAACATCAAAGTGAGTACCATGGGGGATTTTGATGCAAATGTCTGAGAGCTTATCGCTGATCTGATTCGTGAGCTGACCTGTCTGTCTCCTCTCCCTCAGCTGAGAAAGCCTGTTGTGGAGAAAATGCGCAGAGATCGCATCAACAGCTGCATCGAGCAGCTCAAAGTCATCCTGGAGAAAGAGTTTCACAAGCAGGAGCCCAACTCCAAGCTGGAGAAAGCCGACATCCTGGAGATGACCGTGAACTTCCTGAGGCAGCAGCTGCAGTCGGGCCTGTGTCAGAGCGACTACAACCAGGGCTACTCCCACTGCTGGAGGGACTCCATGCGCTTCCTGGCTGCCAGCTCCAGCGCTGAGCCCTCTGTGGCTCCTCTGCAGGGCCTCCAGCAGCAGGACCAGAAGCTGCTTCAGGCCCAGAGATCCATCCTCAGGCCCACCACCCTGCAGGACAGCAGCAGAGGCCCGGTGTGGAGGCCCTGGTAGAGACTCTGTCACGCAGACACCCTGAGACCTGAGGGGCCTCGTGCTCGCCCTCACTACGTAGGAAATATGTTTCCAGCCTGCTCTTCCATGGTGGGTTTCCTTACTGTCTCATCACATTGATGGACAAAGTTGAAGCGAAGGCTCTCACTTATTTGAAGATTGTCCTGCTTTGACTCTGACGTGTACTTTTCCTTTGCGTTTGAAGCTGGAGATTGATTTTGAGTGACGATGGTTTTGTCAGATTTTGTGAAGTGATTGTTTACTCCAGTGGAGTTTATCTTTGGACTGCTTGATGTAACAGTATCTGCCATACTGTGTTTTACTGACAGCTGCTGTTGAGAATATTTCTCTTTCTGTTTTGAATTATCTATGCCAAATTCTGTGTGTGAGCATGATGGTGTGCGTGTGTCTGTATGTTTGTGCAAGTGGATGTACATATTAACGTTTTGTGATGGGATGTTCATGTTGCTGTTTTGCTATCACATGTAGGCTCTTAAAACCAACTCGTTTTTTTTAACATTTGTATGACAATTAACAATAAAAAGACACAATCATTAAAAAAAAACATGAATGGTTGATTTATTACTCAATGGATACAAATATATATTTTATTATTTCACAGAATTAAAACACATTTAAGATAAAGGAAATGTTAATATCAGCAGCATTTGGCATCTTATCACTATGAGCCTCTGTTTAAAACTGATTTTTGCTCATGTTTGGTCCAACAGGTGATGAAGATTAGAATGTTTGCATACATTGATATTGCAGGAAAAAAGCTTTGACTTAAAATACAAATTCAGACATTTCTCTTTCTTCTATTCTAGGCTTGCATATTAGGAAACATGACAGCGTTTGTTTGACTTCTATTAACCTACATAATTAAATGAAAACAGAGAAACTCATTTAAGCACAAACAAAACAAGTGACCTTGTGTGCAAATCAGACTTTTCACTTCAAACTAAACAAAGCTTTAGATTACAGAAAAGAGATTTTTCTTTGGGATTGGCAGTCTGTGTCATAAGAAAACACACACAGACTCAAGTATCCATTATTTTACACGAACCTAATTCCCAGGAGATTTGCCCTAAGCACAGCTAAGTTGTCCTATTAGAATTTAATCATTTACATAATGAGGAGGTGTTTTTGTCCCGTAAAGGGAGGCGTGTCCCGACCATGTGACTGTGTCCCCTCCTACTAAGTCAAATTGTTTTTTGAAAACATACAAACTGACACAATTAACACAACCACACACAATTTAAAGAGAAACATGTATATTTTATTAACGCTCAAATTTAAGTTGAGGTAAACACTTTTTTAGCATCCAATAAACCATATTTCCAACACATAGCATTTACTAATATACTTCCTTGCAACAGAATGCATAATATACACAAATTAGCCACACTGCTAGTTATTGTCTTTTGGCATTTTGTCAAATACTCTTTTCCTTTATTAAAGGCAAACAATCCTTATGCTTCAAACATAATGTGACATTAACTTTCATCTACAAGTTTAACTTCACTTCCTTCGGTTACATAAAGGATCCAAACACTGATATTTTCCTCACTGTGAGGTGTGAACATACTGAGAGGAGATGTGCTGCACATGAGAGGGGATTTCATGAGTTCAAGAGGTTAGAATAACTAATACTTATCTTCTCATCAGTATGATGAAACACCATAAACACTCAGTCTTATAGTGAAGGAGCAGGCTGGAAACATATTTCCTACATAGTGAGGGAGCACAGGGTCCCTCAGGTCTCTACCAAGGCCTCCACACTGCGTCTCTGCTGTCCTGCAGGGTGGTGGACCTACGGATGGAGCTGCTGGATCTCTGGTCATGTTGCTGGAGGCCCTGCAGAGGAGCCACAGAGTCCCTCCAGCAGTGGGAGTAGCCCTGGTTGTAGTCGCTCTGACACAGGCCCGACTGCAGCTGCTGCCTCAGGAAGTTCACGGTCATCTCCAGGATGTCGGCTTTCTCCAGCTTGGAGTTGGGCTCCTGCTTGTGAAACTCTTTCTCCAGGATGACTTTGAGCTGCTCGATGCAGCTGTTGATGCGATCTCTGCGGAGCTTCTCCACCAGGGGTTTCCTCACCTGAGGGAGAGGAGGCAGACAGGTCAGCTCATGGTTCAAGTCAGGGGTACGATTTGAATTTTTCTGCTGAAATCATGCAAAAAGAAAAGAAATGTACTCACTTTGATGTCTTTTTGAGACATCCCGGAGCAGTCGATGGAGCAGGGAGCCATGTCTGTGCAGGTGAGTGAGCTGCTTCTTCAGGATGACTCTGTCAGCTCTGGTGTCTCTGGAGGTGCAGCTCTTCATTTTATAGAGCGGCATTAGCATAACAAAGGCGTGTGGCTCAGGCGGGGCTGGGTTCTGTATAATCACTTTCACACATCAATAACTCGGAGGTGAAGCAATCAGCGGCTGACCAGTGGAGATAAAACCGTCCCCAATAAATATATGAGACGGAGAATAATGTGCTGTCCACCTCTTATCAGCGGCTGCTGCTTATCTCAGTGTGCAGTCACTAAGGGGAAGGTTGACAGTCACTCCTGATATGCACCAGGGGAATACTTAAACAGGATCTAATGCATTGGTGGCATCCAGGGAAAAGGCATTGAAAAAAAAGCCCATTATTGTAGATTTAATGATTAGCATGGAGGGGAAGCCGGTTCTTTAATTTTAAATGATTATAATTTGGATTTTTCAGATTTGTGCACATTTTGTCTCTGTGCTAAATAATCTTCTACAGCAATAGTTACAGCAGATTGCAAATAAAGTTTTACTCCAAATGAGACAATTTCACACACAATAAAAATTATGTGATGACACTTATAATAAAATGCAATGTTTCTGAAATAAACAACAAATTCCACTTGAGTTTGCTGGTGTTTATGTGACTTTAATGGTTTGCTGAATTTGAATCAAAGGAAGAGAAACTTCTGCTAACATTAAGCAAGAAGTGAAAAGGCTAAACATGCTTTAATTCACATGTGGTCTGTATGTTGGGACCTCTGTGGTCTCACACAGGGATATTTTGGCAGGAATTTTAAACAAAGTGATTTTATTTTTTTTTTCTGCAGATTCTCCTTCAACTTTTAAAAAATTGCATTGTGATGAATATTAATGCTCCAAAATGAAATTTTCCCAACGGCACCTTGCTCCGCTCCTTTGTGCACGGACAAGAAACCTCTTGCTTGTTCACCCATGGCACACTTCGATTGTTGACCGAGGGTATTAGGCTGTGAGTGGACAGAGAGACTGTGGGAAAGCCAAGCTTGGACTCTACTCACACATCTACTGGTCAATAGCGCTGACCTCCCAGCCACAAAAGGCCTTTTCTTCTCTTCTCTCAAACAACAGCCAGCAGCAGCCAGTGTGTGTGTGTGTGTGTGTGTGTGTGTGTGTGTTTGCAACTGCACACACTCCCCCAAGACAAACCGATTGTGCCTTTATTTGGTATGCAATGAGATGTTACGTCATGCTGCAACTCCGAAACTTTTCTCTCCGTGACCAGCTGCCACTTGTTATTGAACCTGTGAAATATCATATCGCTTGTTTTGACGGCCCAAACTGACGTCTAGAAATGATGAAAGCTTCACAGATCACAACAGAACCAGCACCATGTAAATAACTATTATTTCCAACATGTTGTAGGAAGCGATTACTTTCATTTTACGAGCACTGGTGAGACTTTCTACCAATTATGTTTTTAATAACAAAAAAAAATCCCAAACATCAAATAATGTCACTGACAATATTCTTCATTTGTTTTTAGAAAAATGACATTTCAGTCATCAGCGCTGAAGATGTGAAAGAAGAAAAAAAGTTTAACCTGTTGATTCTTTTCAACCCACACACCTCGTCACTCCTCCTCTACCTTTTGTCTGTGTTGTTAAGGGAAGTTTGTTGCTTTCACTTTTTTGATTAGATGCAAAAATTGAATTAAAGTTGAGTGTTTGGTTCAGAAAAAAACCCTTTTCACAGTAAGTTCAGACTATTTTGACAACACATGCAGGTTCTTCATCCCAACTGCTGTCAGAATCTACAACATGCTCTCTTTCAATATTATATTTTTAAATAAATACAATATAATATTATATCCATTTTTCTCATGTGCAATATATGTTATGTGCAATGCTCTTCCTCTTTATGCTTTTATTTGTTCTCTCTTTTTTTTCTTCCTTAGGTTAACTTGTTGCTATTTTCTTTATCTTTTCCTACATCTACTGCTGCAACAAGTGAGTTTCCCCATTTGTGGTGATGAATAAAGTGCAATCTAATCTAATCTAATCTCAAATTTGTTGAAAATCTTCCTGTAGGCATCTTGATGTTACTGAAAATCTGTTTGCTTTCTCTGTCAGCGCCTCGTCACTTCACAGCAGGAGACTAGCAGGCAGTGCGTTAACACTTGCATGACGACAATATAATTGTATTCAGCCCTCCAAGGTAAAGTATGCACACAGGTTTTGAGATTAAGTTTATTATTTCAAACTCTGGGAGAAGGTGGAGTCTGTGAATGTGGAGAACAAAAATGTTGATATTCATCTAATTTGCATGTTTCGATTGTGAGCATGTGTCAGATTTATTGTCCCTCCCACTGCCGTCTCCCTCCCTTTTCCCTCCTGGTCTTTGTGCACGAGCATGAACGTGCACGAGCTCCAGCCTGCACCCAACGCACCAGAAATGTGTTGTGGTTCGAGCCACTTATTCCATTCACAGAGCATGGGCTTTGGAAAAACAGCAGATTTCTTTCAGTGCACACACAAAGCAGACAGCAGGCGGGCTGCAGGGAGACTTTTATTGAACTTCTCATAAAGATTAGAATCACATAATCAAGTTTAAGAGTTTCAGCACCAGAGCTGTTGATCACAGGTGACAACAAGCTCTGACCTTCCTTGCAGAGGTCAAGTAAAAACATACTTCCTATAACAAGACCAATCTCTTTTTTTTTTGTTCACACACATTAAATATTTAAACATCTGATTATTTTTAAAGATAAAATTCAAAGTGAACTATTTTAACCTCACACTCCTAAACTCTTCACTAAACATTTCATTGCTTGGTCATGGTGTACATTTGGATGCAGTTCTGGAAATGTGCAGTTGTGTTCATTTGCGGCTTCATAACAATAATATAAATCTTGGGAAGGAAGTATCCTGCGAAGAAGGCCAGAACGCTGAAGAGTGTGGCGAACACGTAGGCCGCCATGGTGAACGGGCCTCTGCTGATGAGGTAGAGCGTGAAGAAGCTCATCCAGGACATCATGTACACCATGAGGCTGAAGGTGACACACTTGGCCTCGTTGTAGTTGGCCGGCAGGTCTTTGCCCATGTAGCTGAAAGAGAAGCAGAGGACGCTGAGTAGCGATACGTAACCGAGCTCCACTCCAGCTCCGGGTGAGAGCGTGTTGCTGCACTCCAGCACAATGCTGTCTGGGTAGAACTTCAGATCCTGGGAAGGCCGGGGAGTGTTGACGGCCACACGGAGCACAGAGAAGACCAGGATGATGAAAGACACCAGGAAAATGGTGAACTCCGGCCCGTGTTTTTTGGCCCACTTGTCGTAGGCCGGCGGCAGCTTGGATGCAAATTTAAAAATGCAGACGACCTGAAGGGAGCGCACAGTGATGCTGGCCAGGCACACAGTGAAGCTGAAGATGAATAGAGGCTGCTTGAGGATGCAGGCCAGAGGGGACGGCTCGCCAAAATGGCACAAAGAGCTCATGGCGGCGACGGTCAGGGCTGCCAGCATCAGCAGGCAGGTGCGACCCCCGGCGGATTTGGCTACAGGTGTGTTCAGGTTGAGCAGCAGGATTACTGCAGAGCTGGAGGTCATGAGGAGGCAGCAGGCCAGAAAGAAGAGCAGGGCGATGGAGAGGGGGGCGTCCCAGGCCAGCAGGAGGACGGTTCTGTTCAGACACTCCTCGCTCCTCGGTGGGGCCCACTGCTCCCGCAGACATGGCTGGCATATTGTTGGTTCTGAATAAAAGACACAGAACAGAAATAAAGGCCACTTCTATAAAACCTGGGATGTAAAATCTGCAGTTCAGTGTGCTTGAGCTCAACATTTCCATCCCAAGACACATTTTTAAGTCACATAACAACACTTGTTAGAAGTCACGTATTACATGTGTTACTTGGCACCAAAAGGATTCTTGAAGCTGTTTGGTTTCAGCATCAGAACTAAGTATGAGATCAGTGCGCCACCTGCTGGTCAACACCACACACAACAACTGATATGCTGCTCGGCTACACAAATGATCATTTTGTAAATAACTGACCTCAACTCTCAACTGTAAGTGTCACATATATGTTACGAGGAAGACATAATAAATGAGAAGAAAACTACAGAATTACAACACTGTGAGCTATATTCTGTATGATTGATCTGTCTAAGTGTCTAAAACACATTATTCACATCCCTGATATTACCTCATGTTAACTCAAATATTGCCTTAACTGAACTCTTGTTGTGCCACTAAACTCTGGAAACACTGATTATGCAACACTGATTTTGTGAAAGAGATGTTGTTGTTGTTTTACCAGAAAAGTTGGCTTGTATTTGAACTGCGTCATGCTCTGAACTTTGTCCGCACGTTTGGAGAGGAACATCTGTCCTCTAGTAACTTTGATATTTGTGTGTTTTGCTTTTATTTGCTTTAACACGGGCTGCAAGGTGAAGCGGTGGTTAGCACCATCGCCTCCCAGC